TTTTTTTTTTTTTTTTTTATTTTTGCAGAAAGGAAATGGTTTCCTCCTTGCCCCACCCCACCACGTCGCTGAATGAAGGGGCTCTTGATTGCAAGGTGGGATGTGGGCGCATGGGACTGGAATAGGGCCTGGGAGAGCCCTTGGGGTCCTGCTCTGGTGGGAAAGGTTTAAAATAGCCATGCTAGGGAAAGGGAGCTGGACCAAGAGCCTTCCAGAGTTTCCGACCACATGGGCAACCTCACCCCATTTACACCACCCCTCATATGGCTCAGCTGCAGAGAGAAGAGCCCTCAGCCTCCATCCATTCCTGGCCCTTCTGCTGAGGTTGCGACAGTACAGGACAATCAGATGCTAAGCGATGGGAGTTTTATCACATGGACAAGAAGTCCTCTGGAAACCAGACCAGCCTTTCCTCACTTCCTGCAAAGAGCCACCAACTAAGTACCATCCTTTGGAGACTACTGGCTCAAACCAGCATGGCCTGGAAGGAAAAAGCATCAGCCCTGTTTTCCTACAAGGGCCTTGGACAAGCTGGGGAAGTTGGAATGACCAAGGGAACGCGGCAGGAAGTCTGAGGGCAAATACAGCAATTGCTAAGATGCTTCCTGCAGATAAACGCCCTCCAGGATGCGGGGCTGAGAGGGCCCAACGTACACGTGCCCGCCCAGGAGAGCGCCCGCATCCTCCCCAGCCCTCCCAAGAGCATCCCGCTGTACTGGGGCTCTGGCTGCCACCGATTGCAGTACCTGGCAGCTGCAATGACACCAGGACCCTTTGCTTCACCCAAACAGCACCCACTTGGAGTGGGGAATTCACCCTGCAACTGGAGGCCATTTCACCGAGCTGAGATGCAGAGACCTAAGCGCTTCAGCAGCCAAAGGACCCGGCCCCTTGGGGCGATGCTGCCAGCAGTGCAGCCCTGGGCTGCCCTGACCTCTGCTCCCATCGCGCCAGCACGAGGAGCCGGGGGCAGAGCTGGGAGAGGGGCGCGCGGCCCCTCCGCTGCAGGTGAAGCTGCGCCTATGCGGTCATGCGCAGACCCCGACGCCAGGCTTCGCTGCTCTGCCGAATGCAAAGCCACCACGGTCAGGAGTAGAGCCCTCCTCTCCAAGCACCGCAGCCAGAGGGGACACAACAGACATTGCCCATCCTATCTAGGTAGGAAACAAGTCTCCTTAAATACCTACCCTGTACCCCCCATCCCTATTTCCAGGGCTGGTTACTCTCCTGGCTTTACAGAGTTGGGCTGCAAGGGGGAGGGAAGGGGAGCATGAAGGACCCCAGCGAGCTGCGACCACAGTGAGACGGCGCAGAGACCTCGCTACAGCCAAAACGTGGCAGGCTGGGGAAGAAACGGAGTTGCTGCAGATCAAAACATTTGCCATGAGAAACTCCGCTTGGGGCAGGAGGAGGGGAACGCATGGGCTCCTATTCCCATGGAAAGCACAGGGCTCTTTTTTCAGTTATACAAGATGAAACCACAGGGATATAAATGTCGCTGCCTCTTTGAGAGCATTAATGAAAATAAACCCATTTAATAGTTTGCAGATGCCATTTCTGTAAACCTAAAAAAAGCAGGGAATAAATATTTCTTCACTAAATATCTATATGTATATATATATATATTGGAAAACATTCACACCTAATCTTAGGGCCCCTCCTTTGCCATGCTCTTGGCAACTTATCACAAGTTGTCAGTCAGCATCAAAGCCTCACTGAGACGAGACACAAATTGCACCCATGGATGGATATCAGGACGGAGGGATTATTGTAATCTAAGCTCGCTCCCTCTCCTTTTTTATTTGTACATTGCAATTACTTGTAACAAGATCCACGGTGGATTTTTTTTTTTTTGCATGTCTATGTTTTGGAAATTTTTGTAAGGTTTTTTGTAAAAACAACTCTTGTGAAATAATGAAGGAATAAATATTTTACTGAGTAGAGATGTGTCCGCGCACGTGACGGGGACGTGGCCTCTGCCTTGCCAGCCGCGGCTGGGATGTTTTCCCCATCTGCCCCAGCCGAGCGCGAGCGGCACGGGCAGGGGGTGGGTGACTGCTCCCAGGCGAGGATTAGCAAGGAGGCAAAACCCACAAAGCCGGCCACCGTCCCACCTGCAATGAGTCCAGGCAAGGGTT